TTTCCCAAATGTTGCCGATACGAGCCTCGGGTTTTCCTGCGCGGCAGCTCCGCGAATCAGCCAGTCGGTCTGAGGATAGGTGACTCTTCCAATTTCCAGGCGTGCGAACCAGATTGAATTTCTATCGTCGTCGACAACGTCGTCGTCTTCTTCTTCGCCCGCAGTCATCGGCAACGATGGTTCAGCGGCCGATCATTTCGCGCGATACCCGGGTAACTGGGTTATGTTTGCGAAAATGGCTTCGAGCCTCTCGATTTTTCTCTGTAATGCCGCTTCTTCCTCCTTCGAATTCTATCTACCGCGATTCCTTGATCTTCGTCTCCATCTCTCTCTTTCTTGATCTCTCATTAGGTTTCCATCTTCCTCGTTACCTTTCTCTTTCCCCTCTACGCTTTCGTCCGTGCGATACTCCCGGCACGGAAGCGAACGAAATGAATCGAATAACCGGACCGTCGGAACTAATCTCGTTGATCGATTCGCCGAGCTCGATTCACTGGCCGTCGTTGACAAATTCCTGTCGATCATGGGGACGTATCTTTCTCGCCGTTTTCACGTAATGATTGTGAGTTCTGATTGCATTTCTTGTATCGACGGCGGGCGATAATGTATTTCCATGGCGGACTTCGATCGGTGTTCTATTCGTGTTCGTTCGCAGGAGTTACTGAATATAAATTATAACAGATATATAGCTCTCAGAACGTTTGATCAATTGTTAATATAATATTGTTTGTTTGAAGCAAACGTGAAAATTAAAGATACACGTTATACAGCTTCCAGAACGTTTGATCAGTTGTTATTATAATGTTATTCGTTCGAAGCAAACGTGAAAATTAAAGATACGCGTCCTGAAACAGTATGAACTAGTTTTAGTAGGTTTCTTCTATTTGAAACAATGATGTGGATGGTTCAGTTAATAAACATACGATTTAATTAATATACTTTGCAACAACAATTTTCTTTAATAATAATACACGCGGTAATAGAATCGCGAAGAAGATCCATCAAACAAAGATAAACCAACCAACGTATATGAAACTCAAGGGTATCATCAGCCAGACGTCGGACAAGCTAATGAAATAACAACTGAAGTAATCCCATCGCAGCAAAAGCTTCATGGTCTCGCTTGAACAATTACACCGCGAACGGTAGGGAAAGGGAGCCGGGCAAAATGTACTCTCGGCCGGTTGTAATCTTTACGCAGAAATTATGCATATAGCGCGTGTCAAAAGGCAGTTAATCTTATCTCGAGACCGCGTACGCGTCCATGCTAACTTGTCCGCGGAATCCGTTTGTAACTGGTTCCTGAGGGGCTAGTAGGAAAGTTGCCGACGCGAGACCGTATCACGCTTGTTTCTATGCCGCGCCGCTTCTTCCTCTCGTTCTTTCCTAGTACGAACAAGATAATGCGTAGGGACAGAAAAAAGATAAAGAAAGAAATGTGATAAAAGGGGAAAAAAGAGAGAGAGATACAGAGAAGCCAATAGAAAAAAAGGACAAAGAGGAAAGATATAAAACAAAATAAAAACGAAAAAAGCGGTGAAAAAGAGAGAAAGAGAGAAAAGGGCAAAGGAGGACAGAAAAATAGAGAGCGAGAAAGAAAAAAACAGAGTAAGGGCGAAGGACGGGGAAAGAGAGAAAGACAGAAAGCGAAGGAAACACTGTAAAAGGCAAACAAAGAGAGGAAAAGTGGAAGGCAGAGAAAAACAGGGAAAGGCAGAGGAAAAGAAAGAGAGAAAGACAAATAAAAGGAAAGAGGGAGAGAGGGGAACAGAGAAGATGGTGAGGAAAAGGATGAAGACGGAGAAGAGGAAGAGGTAGACAAGGATAGAAGAAGAATCACGGTGTCGGCGTAGGAAGACGAAAACCGAAAGACTTTCTCTCCACCCTCGTCGTTGTAGCTGTCGACGTCGGGTCGGTTGACGTGCTCCAGGGCGTCCGGAGGCGTGCGAGCGACCGGTGTGAACTTTGCCGTAGGGGATTATGCAAACGGGGGTGATTCGCGGGAGCAGAGAACAGGAAAGGGAGAAAACACAGGAGAGAGGAACGTCGTCGGCGCTCGTTGCCGAGGACGACGACGGCGGCGGTGGATAGAGGCGGGTTTTCTTGCTTGTCATTACCACGTTCGTGGCTTCCGCTACTCCCTTCCCACCATCCACGAGCTGCGTTTCTCGTGTCTAGGCCGCGAGGCCGTGCCGTCTAGCGAAGAAGCTCGAGTTCGGGAACGTCACGTCTTCCCTATCAGTGAATCGTCTTTGAAGGTTTATTTCTTGTAAACACCGGTTCGCTGCGTGATTCGCAACGGGAAACTGTGGTTTCGGCTCGCCTTACGCGAACGTTTGCGTCACTGATGCGCCCTACTTTCGTTTGTCTTGTCCGTTTTCTTCGTTGGATATTTCTAATAATTTTTTTCAACGCGATGAATTAATATGCATTATGTGGATATTACCATTTTGGAATGTAACAAGTATGTAGATACCTTTTTTGATAAAAAAGAAAAAAGTGTGAATTACCTGCTTTTGGATTGTATTCATGCATATAAGAATGTTGTCTGGAAATTTTGGTGAAAAATGAAGCGATAAAAATGATTCGGTTAGTGGATTGAGATACTTAAAGTATAGGGAGTTGTTGGCTGACCATGCATTGATTTATATCACTTAATTCTGTTGCACCAGTGGGCAATCCGAATTCATCTGCTTTGCATTATTTAGGGAATTCGTACGTCCGTATTCAATCGCGTTTGAATTAATTTTCTCATTTGATTGATTTAAAAATCTTTTCAAAAGAAGAATATTATCGGTAACAGTAAGCACCATTTTATGTGTTTGCGAAGTGAAATATTCTTTCTAGTTGTACACGAGACGCTGCTCCTCGCAGCTGTGTCTGTACATTTCATTTATCAAAGCGTGGCATGAAAGATGAAGCGTCTTTTAACGGTGGGGATTATCTTGAAGACATTATTCTTAATTACAACGTTGCGCTGGTTCGACGACAGGCGTTTCGAAAGGATTTGCAATGAAAACTGCAGCTTATTTGGTAGTAAAGTAGCTGCCCCCGAATCCGACTGAATAGATTTCGGTAGCCGAAGCGAGTGGATTACTTGGTAATTGATCATGATCAATGCCCGGGATAAATTGATATAGGCAACGATCATAAATCATACTCCAAATCGTACACTTCTCATGATATTAATACGATTGATATCTACATTGAAATTTCTGAATTATTTCTTTCCACAAAATAATAAATAAAAATCTAAAGGAAAGTTTAGTGGAAGGAAATAAGGCTGATACTCATATTGCATATCCTTTTTACATTTTCTATGAAATAAATCAGTTTCGTGTTTTCAATTTTCCATCGTTTTAAACAGAGTGAAATATCGTAATATTAGACAAAAAAAGCATTGGACAAGAAAACAAAACGTGATTACAGAAGTATTAATAGAGCAGTCAATTATTTCCTTGGGTCGAGGACATTAGTTATTAAATAAAGTTAAAATGAAAAACTTTCTAAATGAAGAAATTGATTGCATCTCCAGTTGGAACTTTGAGACACGACCAAACGAAACAAATATTTCCAGGGCCGGCAGTGATCGAGAAAAATACTTCAGATGGAGTTGGCCCGATAAAAAATCTCCCAGCTCCGCGTCTTGAGCCGGGCGATAAAAGCAAGAAAACTGACCCACTTTAGAAAAGCGGTGAGAAACTCAGCCTCGATAAAAAGTCGCCGAATCAGCGTCGCGGACTATTGTTCGGAAATTAAACGTATAATGTATTCCTTCGAGTATAACTTATCACGTTGGCGGATGTAAACGGTGAAATTTCATTTATAGAGTTTTTAAATATATACTAACACAATCATAATTAAAATGCATCACGAAATAGTACACCTTCAGTATTGTAATTAATCACAGTTATTGATAGAGGAAGAAATAGTGCACAAAGATAACTAAATACGTACATCCATCGATGTTCTAGCAAACAATTCTGAAGTTTATGAACTTCTATTTACGTCATCAATAATATGAATACCAATTAACCGAAATGACGAGGATTGAAGATTTAAACCCATAAAAACGTGCATTAGAACTCTCCTAACACAGTCTATAGACAAAAATGAAGGAACTCTTCGATCGATCCTGCACAGTTCCCAATTGCCCAAACACCGAACTCTCGATTCTATAATTTTCCTTCTCCCTCGTATCTTTCGAAGTTTAAACCCCGTTCGGTCGAATTACTATGCGGAAGGTTTGCGGGGAATCGGGCTGGTGATACCGCACGCACCGAAAATATGCAAGTTGGCCTGACGCGGGCGAAAGGAGCCGGTTCACGAAGATTTCCCGGGGAAAGCAGCCGAAGTCTGAACTTCTCGAATGGCTGGCTGCAAGGCGGAACGACGCCTCTGCGGTCACGTACGTTTCCGCGTAGCTTCACGCACGTAAGTTCGAAGTAAGGTCACGGGGGAAGCCGGGACGAGCATTCGAGCGGCTCGATTTCGCGCCGAAAATTTACGTCGCGGCCGCACTGGGAATTCCACCAGTTCGCAGCGCTCCAACCCCCGCGCCGGCGAAGCGGGTTTTTGCTTTTTAGCCACGTAGGGCGTAAGCTGCGGTTACGTCCGACCTGGTTCCCTTGTCCCTGCGGGCGCGCTCACAAAACTCGCTCGAGGAGAACGAGCTGAGAGTTTGGTTGGCCGACCGGTGACGATATTCTCCTTCTCCTCTCGGACTTCTCTCGCAACTGGATTTTTTACCGCGATAATTAATTCAAACGACGCACGAACACTTTTATACGCTTTAGCACGGTGTAATGCTCGAAAAGATGTTCAAGTGTATGAATTTTTGCACATCTGCAATCGTGTACTTTTAAGGGTGAAAGTGGCGTTTGAAGTTGGGAGGAAAAATGAATACTGTTGATTATAGCAAATAATTTAAGAGGTACCTATTATAATCGCTTACAAATTACGAACAAATAATTAACCACGTCCCAATTTATTTGTTACAGATCGACCCTAAGGTAGCGTTTCCCAGGAGAACACACCCAAAGGTGAGTACCACCTTTCGCATTCTTCGTTACATCTGAAACGCGTGATCACGTAGACTTCAATACATTTCACATGGAAAGCATTCGTCTCCGTGAAAGATCGATCGTCAAAAAAGTAAAAAAATACAAGAAATAAATTCGATAAATGGACAAAGAGCGGATGCCGAGCGTCGAGAGCCACCATGGCGGTAAAGAGGGACGAGGAGAGTAAACGGAATAATGCGGTTGAAGAGAGAATAATAAAGCCCTCTCGTCCTCGCAATAAGCGCAATTAGATGTAATTCATTTCAAAACCCGGAATTATTTTCTTCCCAGTCTACTTGACCGTGACTACCGGCCGAAACTCTCGCCGCGAGACTCTGAAACGCTGCAAAGAGGATAGGACGGGGGATGGAAACGTATCAAAAGGGAAAGGGCAGAATGTAACAGTGGAAAAGTTGACGAGGTCACACGTGTGCGCCTGTCTCCCTTTCTGTTCCTCTGTGTCCTATGCGTATTTGCGGGAGAGAATTTACACGGGGCCAAGAGACGACGAAGAGTGGGGGTAGGCGAGAGAAATTTGCGCGGCTTAATAATATAAATGCCAGGCACGCGAATTACCGGCGAGTGACTGAATTGCGCTAATTTTAATTGCACCTTTTCCCCTGTTCCCCCTTCCG